CTGAATAATATACATAGATACACACACACACACACACACACACACACACACACATTTTGCTTTGTTTTGTTTTAAGAGAGAGAGATTTTTTTAAAAGAGATTTTTACTATAGGGTGCATGTGCTTGCAAGAAAGAGAGACAGAGGGACAGAAAATGGGAAATTACCCCCCCTCCCCAAGAAGAATGTCCATGCCACAATCCCTTCTCCTCCATTCCCTGAAAGCATCTTGGACACACACACACATGCGCCCAGTGTGAGTTTAAGTCGCCAGGTCCAGGACTTGAACCACGGTCGACTACATGGGAGTCCAGTGACATAGCCATTATTCTAGCTGCTGGTCCCTAGAGAGAGAGATTCTTGATGTAGGGCATGTGCCTTTTCTAGAGAGACAGACAGAATGTGAGATAGTACCACCCCACTGTCCCCCAAGGGGGATGCCATGCTCTGATTACTTGTCCATTCTCTTCTCAGGAGTTTGGACACACTTTCACACGTGCCCACTGTGAGATTTAACCCACCAGGTCCAGGACTCAAATCATAGTTGACTACCTTGGAGCCCAATGATGTATACATTACATCATCTACTGGCCTCTCTCTGTATTTTTTAAATTGACATATTACCCTTATGTAATTTTGTATTTTTAAAAAAATCCCTATCAGCCATAAAAAGTGAAGATTTCAAGGCATTATACTCATGTTCTTTCCCAAAAATTCTGTTCCTTTTTGTGCACACACACACACACACACACATAACGATATACATATGGTTTTCATGTTTTTTGAGACATAATTCATATATGAAATTGTTTTTCTGGATACAAGACCAGCACATGGCATAATGGTTATCTCAGTGGACTCCCTCATAGTTTACTGGAGTTTGAGTCCTAGGCCTGATCTTAAAACTCATACTGGGTGCGTGTGCATGTATGCCCACAATCCCAAGAAGATAATAGAGGATAAGGGATTGTGGCATGACCATGTCCCTTGGGAGTGATGTTTTGCTTTCTGTCTGTCTCTCTGACTCTTTGGCAGATTCACATACCCAATAACAAAAATACTTCCTTTAAAAAAATAAAGTGTGGAGGTTTATAGCAGAGGGACATGGGAAGGAGGGCCCACAGACCATCTGAGTAAGCAAAAGGCACAAAGAATATGACTCCTGCACCGTGGGTGCATATCGAATAAGAGAATGGGTACAGGGGGTTCTAAAGCACACCTGTGGGGGTAAAGGCATCAGCAAGTAATCTGAGACGTGTGATCCTCCTGTACTTTCTCGCCCTCATTGCTCCTGGCTCCTGCATCTTGGAGATTTATGGCAAAGGGATGTGTGAGTGTGAGTGTAAACACCTGTACAGGCAGAAAGCAACAGGAAGAAATCTGATCCTTCTCTCTCTCCCCCTCCCTCGCTTCCTCCTTCTTTTCTCCCTCTTTCTCTCTCTCTCCCTCCCTCCCCCCACTTCTCTCCCTTCCTCATTTCTTGCTTTCTTTCTTTCTTTCTCTTTCTCATTCTTTCTCTATTTTTCTCTTTCTTTCTCCTCCTCCCTTCATATTTATCTATCTTATTCTCTCTTTCTCCCTCTCTCCCTCTCTCCCTCTCTTTCTCTCTCTCTCTATCTCTATCTTTCTCTCCCCCCCAATCTGGCTCCTGTTGTGTGGGGGCTTATATGCCTAAACAATGTGTAGAGGGAGAGGATAGTACTCAAAGAATACATACATGGGCAAAAGGCAATGGCAAGAAGTCAAGATAGTCTTTCAGTGCTCACTTTCTCATATGTCTACTGTCACTGGCTCCTGTACCATGTGCAGGAGCAGAAGGATGTGGGACTGTGAGTCCAAGCATACCTGCTTGAGCAAGAGTAGCAATAAATCTGAGATAAACTGTCCTACATTAACTTTCTTAGTGTGTGTGCTGTAACTGGCTTCTGCATTGTGAGAACTTAACGGCATAGGGGCTTGGTGGGTTGAGGTCCCAAAGCACACCAGCATAGGTATAGGCTACAGCAAGAAGTCTGAGATACACCACTCTCCTGCTCTCACTCACTGTATTGCTTCCCCTGGCTCCTACACCACGGGAGCTAATGAAACAGGGGGCAAGGAATAGGAGAGGATCTTTAGCATGCCTGCCTGGGGAAAAGACAGCAGCAAGAAGCCTGAGATGCACAGTTCTGTGCTCATTCTCTCACTCACTCTGTGTTGGCTCCGTATGGGGCAGGAGGGAAGCACAGAAGGTGAGGGTCCAAAGCACACCTGCATAGGCAAAAGGAAGCATCAACAAGTTTAAGATATGCTGTTCTTGTTTCAGAAGGTATCTCCATCTGAGGTACACCCTTCCCATTTCAGGGGCCAGTGTCACAACTGAGAAAATCATCCTGTGCTCTCTTCCCAAGCCCAGAAAACTAGAAAGAACAGGGGACTTTCAGGTCTTTTTAGAAGGCATTTACTTCTGAGGCACACTATACCCATTTCAGGGACCAGTGTCATGGCTCAGAAGACTACAGCCAGTGACCTCACTCCAGACTCTAAAACCCAGAAAAGACAGAGGACTTGCAGCCCTTTTTAGATGAATTTCCACCTGAGGCATGTCCTATTTATTCAGGGACAAGCTTTATGGCTGATAAGCCCCCAGCCAGTCCCCATCTCCTACCAAATCCAAAAAACTAGAAAAGAGAGATTTTCAGAACTTTCCCAGAGGCATCACCCTCTGAGGCATGCTATGCCTATTTCAGAGACCTGTGTTATGTCTGAGAAGCCCCAGCCCATGCTATCTCCTAAACCCCAAAAGCTAGAAAGATAGAGGGACTGTGTATCTTTTTTTAATTATTTTTTTTCTATTTTCCCTTTTCAAACTCTCACTAATTTTTCTCTTTCCCCCCACCCCAAAATAAAACAAGGGACTTGCAGGTCATCTGTGAAAATAACTCCCTCTGAAGTGCACCCTACCCATTTTTAAATTTTTATATTTTTATGTGATTTTCCCTGTTTGTTGGCTTTTTTGTTTTCTCTTAATTTTTCTGTATCCTCTTCTCTCTTTCTTTTTCTATATTTTCGCATTATGGAGCTGAACTTCCTCACACTCTATGTAGAAGGTCTATGGTACATAATAGTCAAAGATCTGAATATGGTGAAGCTCAGAGAAATACTAAACCCTCAACTCAAAAAGGGAGAAACTCCTCTTCATAAATCTGAAGTAAAAACTAATCCTGTATATAAACATGTTGCAAATACTGTACAAGAGATACATTGGCACAGAAATACCTCAATGTAAAGGGAAACGCATGAGCTTATGGTTGCAGAAACCTACTCCAGCAAATTAGTCAGGGTCTGTATTACCTAATGACTAGAAATTGGAGAGGAACTACAAGGATGGAAGAATCAAGTAAATACATCTCCAATAAGGGAACACAGTAACTTCTCCAGTAGAGAAAAATGAGAATTTACCAAAATGTTAGAAAAAGTTCAGAATCCTTATGATGATAAAATATGAGGAAATTCTTTTATTACTTGAAAAAGGAGAAAGGGGATTGACATATAAAAAGGAATCTACCATTGAAGGTGATAATGCAGGAGATCAAAATCTTGAAAGTATTCAAACCAGATTAGATCATGCAGAAGACATAATCTCAGATCTAGAAGACAAAACCTCTGCGCAAGAAGAGATCAAAAGAAGAATGAAAAAATGACCTCAAACTAAGGATAGTTTGCCCAAACATCCAAATAACTGGTATTCCTGAATGTGAAAAATCCAGTAAGTGCATTGATAATTTAGTCTATGAAATCCTGGAAGAAAACTTTCCAAACTTAGAAAAGTATTCATGACATATAGATCCAAGAAATACAAAGGGTCCCAAAGATAATCAACCCAAGAAGCTCCTTTTCACAGCACATTATAGCTAGATGATCCAAGATTGCAGATAAGTTTCTAAAACTGGCAAGAGAGAAATGTCAAGTAACTTACAGAGGTTATCCCATCAACAGAACATTGGCCTGCTCATCAGAAACAACATAAGTAAGTAAAGAATGTGAAGAAAACAGAAGTATTACCAGAAAAAACCTAAAAGAATTTTTTCTTTAGTGATTGCTTTATTTTTTTGTATATTAATTTTTTATTACAATTTATTTATTTACATTCATTCACTGTGCATACAGAAAAAACCTGAAAGAATTTACCAATACAAACACATCTCCTCAAGAAGTACTGAAGAGAATGTTATATGAGTAAAACTAAAGACAGACATAAAGAAATAATAGAACAACAACAGAAAGAAAATGGCTGACATAACAGCAGGGACAAGTACAGAATATTGTT